TCAAACAATGTGGAAGTTATTTTTTCAAGATCACCCTGCTCGAGTCTAGTTCATTACAGGATGCATTTGTAGGGGTGTGTGTAGAGTGACTGAGCCCTGAGGGTGTGTGTAGAGTGACAGCCCTGAGGGTGTGTGTAGAGTGACTGAGCCCTGAGGGTGTGTGTAGAGTGACTGAGCCCCTGAGGGTGTGTGTAGAAGTGACTGAGCCCTGAGGGGTGTGTGTAGAGTGACTGAGCCCTGAGGGTTGTGTAGAGATGACTGAGCCCTGAGGGTGTGTGTAGAGTGACTGAGCCCTGAGGGTGTGTGTAGAGTGACTGAGCCCTGAGGGTGTGTGTAGAGTGACTCAGCCCTGAGGGTGTGTGTAGAGTGACTCAGCCCTGAGGGTGTGTGTAGAGTGACTCAGCCCTGAGGGTGTGTAGTAACAGTGTGAGTGACAAGGCTGACTGCCCTGACTGTGTTGGGACAGTGTCTGGGGTGTGATGAGGGGAGGGGGCCGGGATTAGTGTTGAATAATGAGGCTGGTCTGGCCCACCCTAACCGTGTTTCTCCCCGTTTTTGCAGCTATCTGTCGCCAGGGCTGCAGTCCTGAACACGGCTCCTGTAAATATCCTGGGGAGTGCAGGTAAACTGCTCGCATGCTGAGCTTACACAATCCTTTGTTGAGATTGGCGCTGAATTATATGTTGAAGTTGCCCTGTGAATCCTGTGTTGAGATTACTCTGTACTGCACTGAATCCTGTGCTAAGATTACGCTGTGCTGGATTGAATTCTGTGTTGAGATTACGCTGTACTGCACTGAATCCTGTGTTGAATCTCTGTACTGTGATTGTAGATTACGCTGTGCTGATTGAATTCTGTGTTGAGATTACGTGTACTGCACTGAATCCTGTGTTGATTGTGCTGAGATTACGTTGTACTAAATCCTATGTTGAGATGGAATTCCTTGTTGACATTGTGCTGCACTGAATCTTGTGTTGATATTGTGTCTCAGAACACATGCCTGGTTCTCCGTGGGAAGAGCTTCATAGAATATGCTGTAAACTGAAAAGGTAGTGGTGCTTGGCTGGCGGCAGGGAAGATCACTTTAGGCAGACAGTGGTGACTGGCACCAAGGAGATGGCAGTGCCCAGGGCAGCAGGAGTCAGTGCGGAATTGGATGTAATTGGGAGATTCTTCGGGTTTGAAAGGAATGGATGTTGTTGATTTGGGGTGTAAGCCCCAGATTTTTCCATATGTCCTCACCTTCTCGTAGTAATAATAATAATAATCCTTGCATTTGATATAGTGCCTTATCATTGTTGAGGTGTCTCAAAGAGCTTCATGGAATATACTGTAAAGTGAATTGACTGTTTTGTGGGCGAAACGTGGCAACCAATTGTGGCTTGAGAGGGAAAATTATTATTCTAATGTTTTAAAAAAAATATTTGAGGGATTATTACTCCCAGAAAAGCAATCTGCCAGTCGACTAACAATCGGGTTCCTACTTATTGTGGGTGAAGTAAGAAACTTTGCCTAAGATTTCGCCCTGCCTGGGAATCAAATCCAGATCCGCTCGCTTGCGAGGCGAGTGCTATCTTAACCAATATTCTACAGCACTCCACTGTAACTTGGGCTGAGCTCAGTCGATCAAACCCTCGCTTCTGAGTCGGAAGATTGTCAGTTCAAGCCTCACATCAGGACTTAGAATCACACAGTCTAGGCTAATGCTCCAGTACACTCACTTTGTGGCCGGTTGTGGGATGCTGCTGTGCGCAATTGGCTGCCATGTTTTGTCCACAAAATACATTTACTTTACAGTGAATCCAGACGTCTTGATGACATGATAAGGCCTATCAGATTATTAGAATTATTATTATTTACTATTATTAAATAAACCCCCACATTATCATCTCCCAATCTTCAAAGCAGTCTGCCAAAATATCCGTCACTCGCACATTCTCTCTCTCTCGCTATCTTGGCTGCTCTCAGCTGAGGTTTAACAGCTGTAAAGGAATCTTGTCAACAGTCGCTGATGATTGCAAAATTCTAACACTGTGCATCACTTTCCCTCTCACATACTTACTTACCGTACACCAAAGGGAAGCCCATACAAACTAGCGGAGAGGCTTTCGATGTAGCTTTGCTGTAATATCTCAGGTACACTGTGACTGCAGAATGTTTAACTATTCCCTTTTCTTTCCATACCTCAAACTTCACATATACTTTCCAGTTAAAGGTTGGAATAGCAATCAGAGTTGTGTAGCTCAGTGGTTAGAACGCTCGTCTCGCAAGCGAGAGGACCTGGATTCAAATCCCTGGCAGGGCGAACAAAACATTAGACAAGTTTCCTTTCTCCACGTTCACGCCTCTGCTTACCTAGCAGTAAGTGGGAACCTAGTTGTTAGTTGATTAGGGCAATCCTGAAGAGTTATGAGACATCCTCCTGATGTGAAGGTGTTCTATCAAAAGTAAGATTGTTATTGCTGAATAACTGGCTTGTCAAGGTAGGACCACCCAAGCCGTTAGGCCTTTGGCTTGCAGGGTTAATAGGAACTGAGTGGGAGGATTCCCTGCCCCTAGTGACTGGTCTGCCCTTCTAGATCCTGCCGATGGGCTGTGCTGTCATCAGCAGTGTCATGAATACTGCAGACCCACCTGTTCTTAATAATACAATACTTGTATTTGATGTTGGGCCTTTTGCGGAGCACAGAGAGCAAGTACTCCGTTGCACATTGTTATGCTAGGGCATGGTGGAGGAGGGGTGGTAGGGGCTGGATGTGTAATGGGAGTTTGTATTGCTTACAGCAATGTGAAGCATCATTTTTCTCCCAAGTAAATGAGGCTGTGACACGATTGGAGGGTCCCTGGCATGCCCATTGCTCGGGGTGAGATTTGGCTGATAAGCAGGCGTTTAATTTAGCAGGTTTAAAGCTTCAATCCAATCCTTGTTGTACAAAAAGAGTTGCTAATTGATTTGCCTTCCAGAGGAGATCAATTTGGATCAGTGTCCCTTGGGGGATGGTGGGGGGTGGATACAGATGTTTGCGATGTCTATCACTGGAGGCTAACCCGTCTCGTGCTGACATTAGACCCATGGAGTCCTGTAGCTTAGAGGTTACAGCACTCGCAAGCGAGAGGACCCGGGTTCGATTCCCAGGCAGGGTAAAACCTTGGGCGGATTTACTTACTCCACGCAATATAGCAACGTCCGCTGTGTCAATCCACTTTACGGTATATTCTGTGAAGCACTTTGCGATGTGATAAACCGCTGTATCAAATGCAAGTATTATTACTATTATTATTATTATAACCAGCTGCCTTGCTGGGGTGGGTTCAGTCTAAACCAGTAAAACAAGTTTGGCTCCACCACTGGGCTGGCCAGCCCTGCCTGCCTGCCGTTCTCTATCTCACCTCCCACTCGCTGTTAGGGCACGCACTGCTGAGTATTTACTTAAGTTACAACTTTCCCACAGTTGATTTGCATTTGCTGGGCAACAGCACAGCCTTTTGTGTGTGTGCGTCTGTGTTTTTTAAATGGGTTTTGATCCCTTCTCCTGACTTGAAAGGTGCTATCAAATGTAATTTTGTTGTTGTTCTCCCTCCCCCTCTACATTCCCTCCCATCATTTTGGAAAGCACATTACCTCACGTGAAGGGCGCTAAACAAACACAAATCATCGGTGTTATTGTTCATCGTCTTGTGTTTTATCCAGCGCCTTTCACGTCGGGAGGAAGTCTCAAAGCGCTTCCCAGGATTGACTGTGAGGTGTAGTGACCGTGTATTGTAGGCGAACGCAGCAGCCAATTTGCGCACTGCAAAGTCCCGCTAACTGATTGTTGGCCAGGACACTGGGAGAGAGAAACTTCTTTCTCTTTGCCAGCAGTGCCGTGGGATGTTTAACGTCCACCTGAACAGGCACAGCCAGGACCTCGGTTTAACATCTCATCGGAAGGACGGCACCTCTGACAGTACAGCACTCCCCCCAGCACTGCACTGGAGAGTCTGGAATGTGAGCTCAAAGTCCCTGACATGGGGCTTGAACCCACTACCTTCTGACTCAGGAGGCCGGTTTGGGAGTGTGAGTGACTATGACATCTGTTTTGTATTAATAACTAGCTGACCTGCAGTTGGCTTTTGGGCAGGATGAAGGGATTGGGAAATAATTCCTGCTTTCACATTGCATATATCTTTTGGGGAGTGTTTTGTGCAGAGCTTCACTTTTGACTTTGATGGTGATGCCACGTGTTTCTTTATATATGAATATCTGCTGTATGTGAAGTTGGCTTCTCAGAATGCTTTCTGTCTCCTAATATTGCTGGGAAAACGACCCTCTTCTTAAGACTGTAGCTCAGTGGTTAAGGCACTCGCTTCGCAAGCAAGAGGACCTGGGTTCAATTCCTAGGCAGAGCTAAACGTTTCCTTACTCCATACGCCTCTGTTCACCTACAATAACAAAATTATATTTGGAAAGCGCCTTTCATGTTGGGGAGGACGGTCCAAGGCACTGAACAGTTGGGGATCAGTACCCGAGCGGGCAGGGTTGGGATGAGGGAGGGCGGCTGAAAACACGGTTAAAGGAGGGTCTTGAGTTGTGCTTGAAGTGCGAGGGCACTGGCGCGAGCCATTCAGGAAGGCCTCGGTCTTCCTGACAGTCAGCTGTAGAAAGTTGGCTCTCATCCAGGACTTGATGTCAGACAGACAGTCTGTCAGGATGTCAGTTGTCCTGGAATCAAGGGTGGAGGCAGAGAGATAGTGTTGGGTGTCATCCGCGAGCATGTGGAAGTTGACCCTATGTCTGTGTATGATGTCACCAAGGGGGAGCATGTAGAGGTTGAAGAGGTGGGGACCGAGGACAGAGCCCTGAGGGACACCGCACAACAGTCTGTTCCTCTAGGAAGTGACTAGGAGGTTCCCAATTACCTAGCAGAATTAGAAACCCGGTCGTTAGTCAATTGGCGGATCGCTTTTCCGGGTGTAATAATTCCTTCAAAAGAAAAATGAATTTAAAAAAATAATTTGGTCACTCAATCCACACCTGTTCGTGGGACACAGCTGTGCACGAGTGGCTGCCGTGTTTTGCCCGCAAAATATACAGTCAATTCACTTTACAGTACAGCCCAGTGAAGCTCTTTGAGACGTGTTAAGGGATTATATCAAATGCAAGGATTATTAATAATTAAAGCATGTATTGGTGTCTCCTAGTATCGTGGGTATGTGTTTAGGACAGACACTGCTGCCATCACTGAACTGTGTAAAACCCCCAGTGGGAGATCAGACAGGAATTTCTGATGAGAAAACCTGCTGTGGGTATGAAAGTGGCCAGATAACAGATTAATACCTAAAGCCCTTGTTTTCTTTTAGAAAATACATTTCCTTTTTTCCAACTTTATTTTCCCTGTGTAGGCTTCATTTCAGTTGAGAAACAGTTTGTTTTATTTTTGTTCTTTCTTTTTTATCCTCTTTTTCTCTATCTCTCTCCCCCCTTTTTATGCAGACCACACCATCACTCCCCATCTCCCTCTGCCTACCCCCACTATCTGACACTCTACGTACAACTCTCTGCCCCGCCCCTTCCCTCTCCAATTTCAAATCCCATCTAATAAGATACCCATTTGACCAATCTATCTTTCGGCTTCTCTTTATACATATATACACACACACACACGGTCAGCTCTGAGTATTTTTTTGCTCAGCCGTGTGTCTTGACACAGGCAGAAATTCATCCCCGTGCAAACCAAGCTGAGAATTCCCACCTACACCTGGAAATCCCAGAGAGAGATTGTTGGAATGGAATATGCACTCTCTCCCTGGAGGGACACATCCTGTTTACCTAATTCCGGAGAGTATTAGGTGCAGGTTGGTGGGAGCCAACTCTTGGGGATCCCAGAGTGTGCGTTGGGGTAACTGCTGGAGTCTAACCAGTTAAACCTCACAGCTTGCCATTGACATTCCTGTCTGGCAAGCTTTCCCGTCCTTTTCAAGTGGATGTTAAACATCCTGTGGCACTCATAATAATAATCCTTACATTTGACATAGAGCTTTAACACGTGTTCGAGACGTCTCAAAGCGCTTAACAGGATATACTGTAAATTGAATTGAGTATAGTTTGTGGGCGAAACATGGCATAGGGAAGGGAATTTCTCTTTCCCAGTGTCCTGGCCAACAATTTACTAGATAAAATCAATCACTCACTTCATGGCTGTTTGTGGGACATTGCTGTGCGCAAATTGGCTGCTCACAAAACACACACTTTACAGTAAATCCTGTGAAGCACTTTGAGGCATCTTGAGAGTTTGAAAGTTGCTGTAGCAAATGGGAGGATTAGCATCATTAACTGCTTAAGAAGAATTCTGTTCTGCCCATATAATAATTATTATAAGTCCTGGAGTCCTGTAGCTTGGTGGTTAGGGCACTCGCCTCGCAAGCGAGATGACCAAGGTTTGATTCCCAGGCAGGGCGAATCGTTGGGCAAGTTTCCTTACACCACGCGCTTCTGTTTACCTCGCAGTAAGTAAGGAACCTGGTTGTTAGTTGATTGGCTTTTCCGGGGATAATCATTGCTTGAAAAAAATAATAATTTGGTCATTCAATCCACAACTGTTTGTGAGACACTGCTGTGCACAATTGGTTGACAAATTTTGCCCACAAGACACACAGTCAATTCACTGTACAGTATATCCTGTGAAGCGCTTTGAGACGTCTCAAAAGATGTGATTAGGTACTATATCAAATGCAAGGATTAGTATTTATTAACGCTGCAGAGCTGTTTGCAGGGGGGCCTTTGGCAGTAAATTTGACTGAATGTATTTTGTTCCAGCCGCTCCTGGTTGTGTGAGCTGTAATTAGCCACGTAATTAGCTACAGGGTGGTTTCTCTGTAATATGGAAAACTTGGTGATGTTTGTACATCAATTTATGGAGATAATTTTTTCGTTGTTGTCCTGGGGAAATGACTCTCCAGACGAAACGTAGTTGTTCCCATGGTGCTCTCTTTTTTTTGGCGAGAGAAGGGAGTCCTCCTGATGTGAAAGGTGCTTTACAAATGTAATTTTGTTGTTGTTAAGACCTCTATAAAACTTCACCCACTGTCTACACCATCTGTATCTCTAACACCTTCAACTTTCCACACATTACTTGAAAACTTTCTCTCCTTTTCTCTCCCTCTCCCCGTCCCCCCATCCCTCTCGCTTCCCCTCTCCCCACCCCACCGTTCCCCCTTTCTACCTCTCGCCCCCCCCCCCCCCCTCTCTCATTCACATCTCCTTTACGCTGGGAACCTACATGAGAGGAATGGCACAGAGAACGAGGGGCGGAGAAACACTTATAAATGAGAGACAGCTAACAAAACACAGCCAGGGGCTGTAACCTCTGGAGTTGGACAGGTCAGAGTTAAATATAAACTGTTTCCCTGCCTCCAAATCCCTGCTTACAGGAAGCGACGAAGGTTTACAACAACAACATCTTGTGTTTATATTGCATCCCCTCAAGAAGGATACAGTCCAGGCTGACACTCCAGTTCGGTGCTGGGGATCAGGGAGAGAGCACTGCATTGTCAGAGGTGCCGTCCTTCGGGTTAAACCGAGGACCCGTGGGATGTTAAAGATCCCGCGGCACTTATTGGAAAAGAGAAGGGAGTTTCTCTCTCCCTCCTGGTGTCTTGGCCGACAGTCCCGCTGATACGATTGGTCACTCACTCCATTTTTTGTTGTAGGACGTCGTTTTGTACAAATTGGCTGCCACATACGCTTACAAACCCTCGATAACTACACTTTACAGTGAATCCTGTGAAGCGCTGTGAGACGTCCTCCCGATGTGAAAGGCGCTGGAGCAGATGCATGAATTATTGGGATTAATAATCCTTGCGTTTGATGTGGCCCTTTCTCACATTTTCACGACATCTCTAAGCGCTTCACAGAATATACTGCAAAGCGAAGCTACTGTGTATTTTGTGGGCAAAACGCAGCAGCTAATCGAGCGCAGCAGTGACCCACAAAACTGGTGGATTGAGTGACCACATTTTTTATTTGATTGATTGCTGTTGCTTTTCTGTGCGCTCTTGTGTTGTGATGTGACGTGAGCTGCAGTGGGATGCCTTGTGTTGCAGGTGTCAGTATGGTTGGAAGGGGCAGTACTGTGACAAGTGTACCCCTCACCCTGGCTGTGTGCACGGCACCTGTGTGGAGCCCTGGCAGTGTCGTTGTGAAACCAACTGGGGCGGTCAGCTGTGTGACAAAGGTAAGCAGGGAACCCGGGAAGCGCTTTGGGACGTCTCAATGGCGTGATAAGGCGCTGTGCAAATACATGGATTATTATTATTGATTATGATTATTATTATTGTGATATTATTTTGATTACGATGATTATTGATGATTATCGTTGATTATTGATGATGATGATGATTATTATTATTGCTTCCTCAGATCTGAACTACTGTGGGACACGACTGCCCTGTTTGAACGGGGGAACGTGCAGCAACACTGGGCCAGACAAATATCAGTGCACCTGCCCCGACGGCTATTCTGGGAAAAACTGTGAGATTGGTGAGTGCTCGCAGCCTGGTGTGGGAGGCCCTGCCTTGTGTCGCCTTCCTGCCCGCCCACCGCCTGATTACATTTCCTGAGTCAACTGTCGGCTGCGCCTTTGGAAAATGTGTCAGCCTGGCTCATCAGTGGGAGCGCTCTCATCTCCGAGTCGGATGGTTGTGGGTTGAAGCCCCACGTCGGGACTTGGAATCACAGAGTCTAAGCTGATGCTCCAGTGCAGTGCCGGGGGGGAGCACTGCACTGTCAGAGGCTCCGTCCTTTGGATGGGATGTTAAATAGAGCTCCCGTCTTGTCTGTTCAGGTGGATGTTAAAGATCCTGCGATGCTGCCGGCGTCCTGACCAACAATCCACCAGATACAATTGTTCGCTCACTCCATGATTATTTGTGTGGCATTGCTGTGTACAACGGCTGCTGATTTTGACCACAAAATACACAATCACTCCAGTGAATCCTTTGAAGCATTTTGAGATGTTTCTCTCTCTCTCTTTTCCCCCTCCCGCCCATTTCAAGACGTGGAGACAGAGTGTGCATTGGGGTAACTGTTGGAGTCTAACCAGCTAAAACCACATAGCTCGCCATGTTTGGCAAACTTTCCTGCTGCTTGTCCAGCGAGGACCACTCTCGCCGTTAAGAGTTTGGGTTTGCAGGGTTAACAGGAGCTGAATGGGAAGATTCCCTGCCCCCAGCGATTGGTCGGCCCTTCCAGGTCCTATCAATGGGCTGTGCTGGACCGTCATCAGTCTCAGGACACCAAAGTGTCTTATTAATGGGTTGACAGAGGAAACTATCAATATAATTAGGATGTTGTCCAATACATTGTCCTGTGTTTGACTTGCAGCCGAGCATGCGTGTATCTCTGACCCCTGCTATAACAGAGGAAGCTGTTCGGAAACCCCAATGGGGTTTAAATGTCTGTGCGTCTCTGGGTGGGCCGGCCCAACCTGCACCATTGGTGAGTAATCAACCAATCATTAGCCCCCACCGTTGGCACGTTAACCAATCACCAGCCTCCACTGTTGGCGCGTTAACCAGTCACCAGCCTCCACCGTTGGCGCGTTAACCAGTCACCAGCCTCCACCGTTGGCGCGTTAACCAGTCACCAGCCTCCACCGTTGGCCGCGTTAACCAATCTCTGAGCTCTCAGTCTAGGCCAATGATGACCAACCATTCACACGTGGCTCAATCCGCTCGGAGCCGCCGCTAATTCTAATTCCATCCAATGGGGACAACATTGGGAGGCAGGTGGATGCCGGGCGAACGTCTGTTAACCTCGGACGCCACTTAAACTGGACAAAGCACCCGGCCCACATGCATCCAGCTTAACCGGTTTCCACTGTATCTGGAAGTCGAGCGGATTGGCTTTAGGCATCGCAAGCTTAAAGCACATGAGAGGAGACATGGATTCTATATGAGGGGCGCTCTATAAATGCAAGTTGTTGTTGCTGCTGTGTTTGATATTGTGTGTGTGTGTGTTTGTGCGCAGATATTGATGAGTGCGAGGCTGACCCGTGTGCCCATGGGGGTACTTGCCAGGACATGGTGGATGGCTTCAAATGCATTTGCCCCCAGCAGTGGACAGGCAAAACATGCCAACTGGGTAACTACCCTTTAACCTAACTTCCCCCGGGTTTGTGACAGGAAAAACAGAGACGCTCCCGTTAGTTAACTTTGTGTCTGACTAAATTGCTCTTTGTGAGATGTTGAGTTGGGAGTTTTTTTTGGGCGGTGAGGGTTTGAGAGGAGACTTTAAACCCGTCTATGCCTGTTCAGGTGGACTTTAAAGGTCCCATGTCGCTGTTGGGAAAAAAGAGACAGGAGTTTCTCTCTCTCTACCCTGGTGTCCTGGCCGACAATCTCCCAAGTAAGATTGGTCACTCACTTCACGGCTGTTTGTAGGACATCGCTGTGTGCAAATTGTCTGCTGAATTTACCCATAAAATAGTCATTACAATTCACAATAATCCTGTGAAACACTTTGAGACTTCTCCAACCCCCCCCAATGTGATCGAATGAAAGCGTTATTAGCCGTGTGTTTAGCTGTTAATAATAATTGTTGCATTTAATACAGTCGTCAAGGTGTCTCAAAGTGCTTCACAGGATTTTACTGTGAAGTGAATGTGTATTTTGTGGGCAAATACAGCAGCCAATTTGCACACAGTGACATCCCCATAAACAGCCATGACTTTTTTTCTGGAGGATTGTCGGCCAGGACACCGAGAGAGAAACTCCCTTCTCTTTTTGAGTGGCACCGCAGGAGATCTTTTAACGCCCACCTTATTAATAAAGAGTGGTGGGGTGTAAACGTAGGGATAATAATAATCCTTGCATTTGATATAGCGCCTTATCACATCTTCTACACGTCTCAAAGCGCTTCACAGAATATACTTAGTGGGATAATTATTAAACAACGTTGTTGTAGTGAATAATAGTAAGTTTATTTTCCTCTAATCCTGGAATGTGTTGCCCCCTCTCGCAGATGCCAACGAGTGTGAGGGGAAGCCGTGTGCTAACGCCAATGCCTGCCACAACCTGATCGGGGGCTATTACTGCGACTGTATGCCGGGCTGGGCCGGCCAGGACTGTGACCTGCGTGAGTACCCACTTCCTCTGGCCAACCCCACAACCCTCACCCCCACCCCCTCCACCGCACAACCCCAAACCCGATCCTTTTTGCACAACAAAGGATTTGGATCTCTCCATTCTGTTGTGTCAGCCTGGCTCAGTGGTAGCTCTCTCTCACCTCGGACTTGTAATCGTATAGTCTAAGCTGACGCTCCAGTGCAGTGCTGGGGGTGTGTTACATTGTCGGAAGTGCCATCCTACGGATGAGATGTTAAACCGAGGTCCTGTCTTCCTGTTCAGATGGACGTTAAAGATCCCATTGGCATTATTGGAAAAGAGAAGGGAGTTTTTCTCTCTCTCTCCGGGTGTCATGGCCAACAATCCTCCAAATAAAATTGGTTATTCACTCCACGGCTGTAAGTGGGAAATTGCTGTGTGCAACTAGCTGCCACGTTTCGCCCACAAAATACAGTCAATCCACTTTACCGTAGGACCTGAGAAGCACTTTGAGAAGTTTTAGTGACATAAGGCACTACACCAATTGCAACGATTATTCTTACAACTGATGACAGTGGGGAGAGAATAGCCTTGTGAAGCTCAGCCTTAAGCAGCGCAAATCAAACACTTTGTAATGTAAAAGAGGCAACAACTTTCAATCACATAGCGTCGTGTCTCTTGAGCGCTAGGAGCTGCGTTTTTAGTGACTGTACAAGCGTTCTGAGATGCTACGCTATGTCGGGAGCACTATATACCTGCAAGGAGGAGGAGGAGGAGTTGTTGTATTGGGGTGGGGAGGAGGGGCTGGGGGTTAGCCTGGGTTGCTCTGAAGGAAGGCAGTGAAACCGCGGCTGATTACCGTGTGGGCGAGACTCCACGGACCTGATTGTGGTGATGTGCAAGAGTCTGACGCACCTGGTTTTATTACAGACATCGACGATTGTCACGGACAATGCCAGAACGGGGGAACATGCAAGGTATTGTGTCTCTCTCTGGCTGGTTCCCTCTCTGGCTCTGGCTCTCTGGGCTGTCTCTTTCTCTGGGCTGTCTCTTTCTCTGGGCTGTCTCTTTCTCTGGGCTGTCTCTTTCTCTGGGCTGTCTCTTTCTCTGGGCTGTCTCTCTCTCTCTGGGCTGTCTCTCTCTCTCTGGGCTGTCTCTCTCTCTCTGGGCTGTCTCTCTCTCTCTGGGCTGTCTCTCTCTCTCTGGGCTGTCTCTCTCTCTCTGGGCTGTCTCTCTCTCTCTGGGCTGTCTCTCTCTCTCTGGGCTGTCTCTCTCTCTCTGGGCTGTCTCTCTCTCTCTGGGCTGTCTCTCTCTCTCTGGGCTCTCTCTCTCTGGCTGTCTCTTTCTCTGGGCTCTCTCTCTCTGGCTGTCTCTTTCTCTGCGCTCTCTCTCTCTCTGGCTGTCTCTCTATCAGCTGGATATCTTTAGTTTCGGATGAAGTCCTGACTGTCTGCCTGTCTGCTTTGTTTGTCAGGATTTGGTGAACAGCTACCGCTGTGCGTGTGCCCCTGGTTTTGTGGGGCAGCACTGTGAGCGAGCGGTCAGTGGATGTGCCAGCAAGCCCTGCCTGAACGGTGGGCAGTGCCAGGAGACCCTCACCGGGGTCCAGTGCCTGTGTCCAGCCGGATTCTCCGGGAACCTGTGTCAGGTGAGCGGAGGTCTTGCCCTTCTACCAGATAAACCAGCTTCTACAGAGGAGCGTGGTCAATGTCCAGCATGGGCATTACCCACCTCCGTTTGTACCTCGCAATCAACACAGCTCAAACCCTCGTCCACGCCTTCGTCACTTCCCAGTTGGACTATTCCGATCCCCTCTCTGCTGTTCTCCCCACCACCACCATACACAAAACCCGATCAATCCAGAACTCCGCCTTTCAGATACTCACCCGCACAAAACTTTGTACCTCCATCACACCAGTCTTTGTCAGGCACCACTGTTCTCCCAATCGCCAAGCTGTTCGATTTCAAGATCCTCTCACTCATTTTCAAACCCTTCATAGAGGTGGTAAATAGGATTGAAAAAGTAAACCCAGATCATTAATTTCGGATGCACCGAGACAGTAGGACAAGAGGACACAGGGTTAGAGCTGTAAAGGGGCAATTTCAGGACAGACACCAGGAAGTGATTCTTTACCCAGAGGGTAATTAACAACTGGAACAGGTTACCAGGAAGGGCGGGTTGAGGCCAGGACACTGGGACTCGTTTAAAAAGCAGCTGGATGCTGTGATGGGGGGACGGTAGGGTGGGTGTTCTGGAGGGAGGAGGTCAGATGAGCCGAAGGGGCTTCTTCATCCAAACCCATCTTGTGAAAGCTCTGGAGTTCACCGTGTTGTAGGTGGGAGAATTCCGTGTCTAAGTGTATTGCATTTTTCCCCTGTTCCAGCTGGACATCGATTACTGTCAGCCAAACCCGTGTGGCAATGGGGCCCCCTGCTTTAACCTGGCCGCCGACTATTTCTGCCGCTGCCCGGAGGATTATGAAGGGAAGAACTGTTCCCACCTAAAGGATCATTGCCAGACGACGCCTTGTCAAGGTGATTGTTTCTTCACTTTCTTTATTCACGTTCTAGTTTGGTCTGACACACACGGAAACCCATCACTGACCAGCTGGGTGTCTGACACACACGGAAACCCATCACCGTGACCAGCCGGTGTCTGACACACACGGAAACCCATCACCGTGACCAGCCGGGTGTCTGACACACACGGAAACCCATCACCGTGACCAGCCGGGTGTCTGACACACACGGAAACCCATCACCGTGATCAGCCGGGTGTCTGACACACACGGAAACCCATCACCGTGACCAGCCGGGTGTCTGACACACACGGAAACCCATCACCGTGATCAGCCGGGTGTCTGACACACACGGAAACCCATCACCGTGATCAGCCGGGTGTCTGACACACACGGAAACCCATCACCGTGATCAGCCGGGTGTGACACACACGGAAACCCATCACCGTGACCAGCCGGGTATCAGTGTGTTGTGGCTTCAGTTTAGTAATCTGAGTTGATTATGTCCAGTGTGTACGGTGTCTGAGTTGAGTCTGTGGTGCATGGGTATGAGGATGTTTTGTGTGTATGTGTATAAGAGGGTGTTGGCTGTGTGTGTGTATGTGTGAGAGGGTGTTTGTTTGAGAGAGCCTGACCTCCCCAATCTCCCTCCCAGTTATTGACAGCTGTACAGTTACCGTGGCTTCAAACACCACACCCGAGGGAATCCGCTTCATCTTCTCCAACGTGTGTGGCCCGCACGGCAAGTGTAAGAGCCAGGCCGACGGCAAGTTCACGTGTGACTGCAGCGAGGGCTTCACCGGGGCTTACTGCCACGAGAGTAAGAGAATTATAATATGATAATCATTAATAATAATCATCCACAAATTTGGGTTTTGGATGGAGACTTAATAAGGAGTGTTGACGTAACCTTGTTTATTAATAATAATAATAATCTTTGCATTTGACATAGTGCCTTATCACGTCTTCGAGACATCTCAAAGCGCTTCACAGTATATACTGTAAAGTGAATTGATTGTATATTTCCTGGGCGAAATGCGGGCAGCTAATTGTCCCACAAACGGTCAAGAATTGATTGAGCGAATTATTATTTTTTTAAAAAATTGGGAAGGATTATTACCCCCAGAAAAGCGATCCACCGATCGACTTAACATCCGGGTTCCTACTCACTGTTAGGTAAACAGAGGTATGTGGAGTAAGGAAACTTGCCTAACGTTTCGTCCTGCCCGGGAATCAAACCCAAATCCTCTCACTTGCGAGGCGAGTGCTCTAACCACTGAGCTACGGGACTCTACAGGACCGTTTGCTTCTTAAATACATTTTTGTCCACTTTCCCAATGTAGGTATTTGACAACCCACTCAGCGCTTTGAGGCCCCATTCTAGAGGGCCGTAGAATGGCCCTCTACGTCAATGCAAATTGTTGTTGTTGGTATTGTTTTCCTGCCTCATGTTGGGAAGACATCTCAAAGCACTTTACAGGAGTGACTGTGTATCTTGTGGGCAAACTCACAGCCAGTTTGCACACAACAGTGTTGCACAAACAGCCATGAAGCGAGCGACGGGATCTTTAAAAGTCTGCCTGAAAAGGCACAGGCGGGACCTCGGTTTAACGTCTCATCCGAAGGTCGACACCTCTGACAATGTAGCGCCCCCCCCACCCCCAGCCCTGCACCGGAGCCTCAGCCTGGACTGAGCTCTGACCAAAGGCAAAATACTGCAGATTACTGGAAATTTGAAATAATAACAGAAGTGGTTTAGGAACACTCAGTAGGTCAGGCAGCATCTTTGGCGAGAGGAAAGTGAGTTAACGTTTCAGGTCGATGACCTTTCATCAGAACTCGGGAAAGGTCATCGACCGGAAACGTTAACCCACTTTCATCTCTCCATAGATGCTGCCTGAACTGCTGAGTGTTCCTAAACCACTTCTGTTATTTCTGAGCTGATTGGGTTGGTTTTGGCCTCATGATGTGTGTGAACGTGACCTTGTTTCTTGATTAAACCTTTTGTCTTCTCTCCCAATGTAGATATCAACGACTGCGCGAGTGACCCCTGTAAGTCCGGAGGGACCTGCATTGACGGAGTGAACGAGTACCAGTGCATTTGCCGGGAAGGCTGGGAAGGAGTGCTGTGTGAGATCAGTGAGTGTCACCTTCAGTTCCTTCACCCTTCCACTGCTCAGTTCATAGTAGTCTCGTGCAGGAGAAATCCCATCTCTATTTATTCTTATAAAGAAAAGAAACACGTACTCACCCGCTCTAAAACTCCTCACCCTGCCCATCTCACCAGCCCTCGCCAGGCTCCACTGACTCCCTACCACACACACACACACTAAACTGCGGACCTCAATCAGGTCACCCCTCAACCTTCTAAACTCAAGGGAATACAGACCACGTTTACGCCACCTGTCCTAATAATTTAAGCCCTGGTATCATTCTGGTGAATCTGCGCTGCACCCCCTCCAGATCCAATGTAACGTGGCGTCTCCGGGAGCCTGTGTCAGGCGGAGTGGGGTTTGTCGATTGTTGCTTAGGTTTTGTCCGCGCGTGTTCCAGATATCGACGACTGTGCTGTGAAGCCGTGTCAGAACAGAGGGACGTGCCAGGACCTGGTCAATGATTTCTACTGCGAGTGTAAGAACGGCTGGAAAGGCAAGACCTGCCACTCCCGTAAGTGTGCTCACTTCCTCTCACATTCACCCCACGTCACACGAAGCCTCAATTTCAAGATCCTAACATTCACGCATAAATCCTTTAGTGTCCTGGCACCTCACTTCCTCTCCGACTTGCTTACCCCCCACTCCACCACCCACCGCCTCCGCTCGGCTGGCTCCAGACTGCCGCTCGTCCCTTGTCCCCTCAGCTCCACTACCGGCAGCCGTGCCTTCAGCCACTACACCCTGAGACTCTGGAATTCTCTCGCTCAATCCCTCTCCTTTGCCCCCTCCCTCTCCACGTTTAGATCACGCTTGAAGACCTTCCTCTTCTGTGCTTACGGACACCTCGCCGCATGTAGCCTCGTGCAGGAGAAATCCCATCTCAATTCTTCTGAAGGATAGAGGGATTAAGGGATATGGGGATAAGGCAGGCAGATAGAGTTAGGTTAGAAGATCAGGCATGATATTATTGAATGGCGGGGCAGACTCGAGGGGCCGAATGGCCTAATGCTGCTCCTAATTCCTAAACACAATGCAAAATTACATTTGTATAGCGCCTTTCACGTCAGGAGGATGTCCCAAAGCGCTGAAACACAGGGAATTTCCACATGTAGATGGCAAGCATTGTAAAACTCTGTCTGGTTTGGAGATGGGTTTCCACATGTGTCAGGCACCCGGCTGATCAGATCGTGTTAGTTGAGCATATGTGTGGCTGCCTGTAACCTATGTTGTTGTTGTTGTTTGCAGGGGACAGTCAATGTGATGAAGCCACGTGTAATAATGGAGGGACATGCTACGATGAAGGAGACACGTTTAAATGCATGTGTGCCCCTGGCTGGGAGGGCTCCACCTGCAACATAGGTGAGCAAACCAGCTTTGAGATGCCATCCTGACATGAAAGTTGACATGTAAATCTGTGTCAGCCTGGCTCAGTCTCCGTGTGTGTGTCAGCCTGGCTCAGTCACCGTGTGTGTGTCAGCCTGGCTCAGTCACCGTGTGTGTGTCAGCCTGGCTCAGTCACCGTGTGTGTGTCAGCCTGGCTCAGTCACCGTGTGTGTGTCAGCCTGGCTCAGTCACCGTGTGTGTGTCAGCCTGGCTCAGTCACCGTGTGTGTGTCAGCCTGGCTCAGTCACCGTGTGTGTGTCAGCCTGGCTCAGTCACGGTGTGTGTGTGTGTCAGCCTGGCTCAGTCACGGTGTGTGTGTGTGTCAGCCTGGCTCAGTCACGGTGTGTGTGTGTCAGCCTGGCTCAGTCACGGTGTGTGTGTGTCAACCTGGCTCAGTCACCGTGTGTGCGTGTGTCAACCTGGCTCAGTCACCGTGTGTGCGTGTGTCAGCCTGGCTCAGTCACCGTGTGTGCGTGTGTCAGCCTGGCTCAGTCACCGTGTGTGCGTGTGTCAGCCTGGCTCAGTCACCGTGTGTGCGTGTGTCAGCCTGGCTCAGTCACCGTGTGTGCGTGTGTCAGCCTGGCTCAGTCACCGTGTGTGCGTGTGTCAGCCTGGCTCAGTCACCGTGTGTGCGTGTGTCAGCCTGGCTCAGTCACCGTGTGTGCGTGTGTCAGCCTGGCTCAGTCACCGTGTGTGCGTGTGTCAGCCTGGCTCAGTCACCGTGTGTGCGTGTGTCAGCCTGGCTCAGTCACCGTGTGTGCGTGTGTCAGCCTGGCTCAGTCACCGTGTGTGTGTGTGTCAGCGTGGCTCAGTCACCGTGTGTGTGTCATATCCTGTGAAGCGATTTGAGACATCTCAACAATGTAATAAGGCGCTGTATAAAATGCAAGGATTAATGGTATTATTAATTGTGTTATGTTTACATTGAGTGAGCAGCCTTCTGAGGTTGGTGGTTTGAGGGTGGTGGTGGGGTGTGGGGAACGATGATTTATTATGAAACTAAAGTGGAGTTAATGAGGTAAATAAACCGTGCTCTCTCTCTCCCCCCCCCTCTCTCTCTCCCCCTCCCCCCCTCTCTCTCTCTCCCTCCCCCTCTCTCTCTCCAGCGAGGAACAGCAGCTGCTCACCCCCACCCTGTGAGAATGGTGGCACATGTGTGGTCAGCGGAGACTCCTTCACCTGTGTGTGTAAAGAAGGATGGGAGGGCTCTACCTGCTCACAGAGTGAGTGTCCTTTCACTTGATCTCAAGGGGCTGGAATATAAAGGAGAGGAAATGATGCTTCAACTATACAGAGCCTTGGTCAGACCCCACCTGGAGAACTGCGTACAGTGTTGGGCATCGCACCTCAGGAAGGATATATTTGGCTCTGGAGGGGGTGCAGGGCAGGTTCACCAGAATGATACCAGGGGTTAAAGGGTTAAATGGCGAGGACCAGTTGCATGAACTTGGCTGTGGATAAAAGGCCGCGGAGGCCGGATCTATCCAAATTTTCAAGATTGAGGTGGAGAGAGATTTGTCAGGGTATCGAGGGACGTGGAGACAAGGGCGGGTTATTGGAGTTGAGGCACAGATCAGCCATGATCTTATAGAACGGCGGAACAGGCTTGAGGGGCTGAATGACCTTCTCCTGTTCCTATGTTCTGTTGCGGGGCGGGAAGGGAAAGAGTGAAGTCGATAGGGAGTGGGAGAGGAGAGAGTGAGGGATTGGCGGGGAGAGAGTGAGGGATTGGCGGGGAGGAGAGAGTGAGGGATTGGCGGGGAGGAGAGAGTGAGGGAGTGAGTTGGATTTAATGGGTCTTTGCTTCTCAGACTGGGATCGGCCACACAGTATATCCTCACCCTTGTCTTCAAATCCCTCCACTCCTCTGCACCCCCCTAGCTCTCCTCAAAATAGTGCCCGTTGCCTTTGTTCCACCGGGTCTGGCCTCCTCCTTGTCCCCCGAGTCCTCTGCTCCACCCTCGGCGGCGGTGCCATCAGCCACTATGCCCCGAGGCTCTGGAACTCCCTTCCTCACTCCCTTCGTCTCGTCCCCTCCCTTCCTATTTTCAGGTCTCTACTGAAGACCTTTGTTTTCGACCGCACCTTTGGTCACCTTCCTCCCCCTCCCCCGGGGCTCGGCCCCCTCCCCCGGGGCTCGGCCCCCTCCCCCGGGGCTCGGCCCCCTCCCCCGGGGCTCGGCCCCCTCCCCCGGGGCTCGGCCCCCTCCCCCGGGGCTCGGCCCCCTCCCCCGGGGCTCGGCCCCCTCCCCCGGGGCTCGGCCCCCTCCCCCGGGGCTCGGCCCCCTCCCCCGGGGCTCGGCCCCTCCCCCGGGGCTCGGCCCCCTCCCCCGGGCTCGGCCCCTCCCCGGGGCTCGGCCCCCTCCCCCGGGGCTCGGCCCCCTCCCCCGGGGCTCGGCCCCAGGATCCATTACTGTGAAGCGCTCTGAAACGTCCGGCGTGGAGGGTGCTATATAAATCCAAGTTGCTGTTGTTTTTCCCACCCCCTCCCGGCTTACCAGACCCTCCCAACACACACACCACACACTGCCTGTCCTGGTATCACCACTTACAGTCAGACAAACTAACACTTTATTATTTTTTTTCAGATGCAAATGACTGCAATCCACATCCATGGTAAATGAGATTGTTCCTTACAGTCATGCATTCTCTTATCTCTTCTCTCCTCTCTCTCTCTTGTTTTCTCTCTCTCTCTCTTGCTTGCTCACTCACTCACTCTAATACTCTCTCTCAGTCGTGCTCCCCCCTCTGTTGCTCTCTCTCTCTCTCTCCTCTGATACTCTCGCTTGCGCTCTCTCACCCTTCTGTCGTTCTCTCTCTATTTCTCTCTGTGTGTATGTCTCTGTCTCTCTCTGTTCCCAGATGAGCTGAGCTGATGTTCTGATTTAATTCTCAGCTATAACAGTGGGACGTGTGTCGACGGTGAGAATTGGTATCGATGCGAGTGTGCGCCAGGCTTCGCAGGGCCAGACTGCCGCATCAGTGAGTATTACCCCCATTCCTCCCCTTTCTCTCTCTCTCTCCTCATCCCCCCTTCTCTCTCATCCCCCCCACCCCCAATACTCATGTCCAGGTCATTAATGTATATTAAAAAATAGCAGTTGTCCTAATACTGATCCCTGGGGATAACACAGTACATCTCCCTCCAGTCTGGAAAAACAACCGTTTACCCCCACCCTCGGGTTCAAAACACTGATTGTTCAGCGCCTTGGGACGTCCTCAGCAACAACAATAACAACCTGGATTTATATAGCGCCCTCCATGCCGGACGGCGTCTCAGAGCGCTTCACAGTAACGGATCCCGGGACCGAGTCAGGGGGAGGGGGAGGAAGGTGCCAAAGGTGCGGTCGAAAAGAAAGGTCTTCAGCAGAGACCTGAAAATAGGACCTCCCAACATGAAAAGCGCTATGCAAATGTAATGCTGTTGTTTCTGTCTCCCAGCCAATTTTGGATGCGTGCTGCATCTGTTCCCGTAAACCCATGACGTTGTTGAGACATCTCAAAGCACTTCACAGAATATACTGTAAAGTGTATATAAATATATGAGACGAGAGAGTTTTTTTCTTTAACCCAGAGAGTTGTTACGGTCTGGAATGCACTGCCTGAAAAGGTGGTGGAAACAGATTCAATAACAACTTTCAAAAGGGAATTGGATAGGGACTTGAAGAGGAAAAAATTGGAAGGATATGGGGTAAGAGTGGGGGAGTGGGACTGATTGGGCAGCTCTTCCAAAGAACCGGCACAGGCACGATGGGCCGAATGGCCTCCTTCTGGGCTGCGATATTCTATGATTCTATCAGTGTAAAGCTGTGTGTTGTGGGTGAATTGTTCTGGGTTTGGCTCACGGTTTGCTCTCGTCTCTTCACTCAGACATTAATGAGTGCCAGTCCTCGCCCTGTGCCTACGGAGCCACGTGTGTGGACGAGATCAACGGTTACCGGTGTCTGTGTCCCCCAGGGAGGAGCGGGCAGCGCTGTCGACAAGGTGGGGAACACAGCCGAGTTCTAACCCTGAACCCCCGTGGAGCTTAGAGTCAAAGTTATTATAATAATTAGTAATAATCCTTGCCCTTGATACAGCGCCTCGTCACCACCTCGACTTGACTCAAAGCACTTCATGTGATGCACTAAAGTGTAGTGACTGTGTACTCTGTAGGTGAATGCGCCAGCCAATTTGGGCACAGCAACGTCCCCACAAACAGCCATGACCAATCAGTGACCAATTTTATTTTGGGGGATTGTCGGCCAGGACACCGGAGGGTGGTGGGTGGGGGAGAGAAACTCCCTTTTCTTTATCTTATCGTGCCGCAGGATCGTTAACGTCCACCTGGACAGGCACAGACGGGGCCTCGGTTTAACATCTCATTCGGGGGACGATGCAGCATTTCCCCCCCACCCACTCCCAGCACTGCACTGGAGCCTCAGCCTGGACTGACAGTTCTGTCCAGTGTTGGTCTGGTTCAGTCGGTCACACTCTCGTCTCTAAAGGGCACCGGATAAATGCTTGTTGTTGTTGGATTGTATCTGGTTGTGAGATGGTTGTTGGTTTCTCTGCTATAGTGACGGGGAGAGCGTGCGTGTTGAAAGACCGGGTCGCTCCACACGGAGCCAAGTGGGACGATGACTGCAACAGCTGCCAGTGTCACAACGGGAGGGTCACCTGTAGCAAGGTACAGCCTCCTCTGTGTCTGTCTCTCTCTCGTGTTCTCTCTCTCTCTCTCAGATCGTTACTTTCGGATGCACCGAGACAGTAGGACAAGAGGACACAGGGTTAGAGCTGTAAAGGGGCAATTTCAGGACAGACACCAGGAAGTGTTTCTTTACGCAGAGGGTAATTAACGACTGGAACAGGTTACCAGGAAGGGGGATTGAGGCCAGGATAGTGGGACTCGTTTACAAAGCAGCTGGATGCTGTGATGTGGGGGACGTTAGGGTGGGTGGGTGTTCTGGAGGGAGAAGATCAGATGTGCCGAAGGGTCTTCTTTATCTAAACCCAATCTTGGGGGTCCCCAATTGGTGGGTGATCTGCCGCTTGTCCGCTAGCAGCTCGCGTGCGTGTGTGTGGCCTGTGTTAATGTAATGTGTGTTGTTGTTGTTGTTGTTGTAGATGTGGTGTGGCCCTAAGCCGTGCAGGACGAATGGGCAGGGCTCGGGATCCGGGCGGGGGAGGTGCCCGGCCTGGCAGGCTTGTTTGCCTGTCAGTGAGAGCCAGTGTTTCGTGCCCCCGTGTGCGGGCTGGGGGGAGTGCCAGGCTGCCAACCAACCCGGCGTCAAAACCAAGTGCCAGCCCAACAACGCCTTCCTCGACCGCAGCTGTGCCAAAATCACCCTGGCCATCAACCGCGATCTACTGCAGCCGGTAAGTCGCCACTGAGACCGGCCGAGCGGGGCTGGGGGCTGGATAGGTGGGGGAGACCTTCACCTGGTCAGGGTGAAACCATCGTCAAGTTTCCTTACTCCCCGCACAAACACCTCTGTTTACCCAGCAGTAAGAAGGTTGTTAAGTCGATTGGCGGATCGCTTTTCTGGCGGTAATAATCCCTTCAAAACGAATAATAATTTGGTCACTCAATCCACGACTGCTTGTGGGACGCTGCTGTGCCACGTTTTGCCTACAAAATATAGTCAGTTGACTCTATAGAGTATATCCTGGGAAGCGTTTTGAGACGTCTCGAAGATGTGATAAGGCTCCATATCAAATGCAAGGAATATATTATAACGACAACAAAATTAATTTCCAAGTTTCACCCAGAAAATACACAGGGATTTAATGTTGCATTTGACAGGTGTGAGAAATCTGGAAGCTTTGGCTGTTGTCAATTCCCTTTGCACCCCCTTTTTCCACCCCCCACCACCAGACTTGCTGTCCCCCTCCCTCCTCTTCCCGCCCACCATCACTGGCTGAGCACCGCCATTCCTTGCTCCTCCCTACGTCTGTGACCAGCTAACCCCGTATCGACTTGTCCTCTCTCCCTCCACTCAGCAAGCTCCGGTCTGCTCCATGTTCCCCACCCAGCTCACCCTACAGTCAGTGGTCAGGCCTTCAGCCTCTCTGTCCCCCTTTGGATCTCCATCCCACAATCCCTCCACTTCACTCCCTCTCTTGCCTCCTTCAAGGCACATCTCAAGACCCTCCTCTTCAACTGTACCTTCGGCCACACCCCTGCCCTCTCTGCCCTCTACCCCTCCTGATCCCAACCCCCAGCTCGAGTCCAAATCCCTGACAGTCCAGGGCCTTGGGACTGTCCTCCCGACATGAAATGCAAGGATTATTATTATGTACAATTATATGATTTGTGAAGGAAGATGAGACTTGTGGCGAGGTTTAGCTTGAGTGCGAGTGAGTTGTTTTCAGTCTCTGGCACTGGTACAAGAGGTAGCCAGGCCAGAGAGGCTTGTTACCCACTGACTGACTGACTGACTGACTGACGGCTGTGTTTGTTCTGTCTGTTCAGGGGGTCACCACGGAGCACGTGTGCGCGGAACTCAGGCAGCTCCAGGTCTTACGCAACTTGTCCGTGGATCATTCCGTTTACCTCATCTGTGAGCAAACCAGCTCAGCCGCCAATGAGATCAGCGTGGCCATTGTAAGTCCCTCTCTCTCCCCCCCCCCCCCCCCCCCCACGGTCTCTCGTCTTGTCTCGTCTGTTTTCTGGGAAGATCGGTTGCCTTTTTAGGTGTGTGTGGGGTGGGGGAGGCAGGGTGGTAGATGTTTTAAATGTAATTTGACGTGGGGGGTGAGTGTTTAAGAGTCCCGAAGCGAGGTGGTTACAGGGCTTAGCCTCGCAAGTGAGAGGACCCAAGTTCAATACCTGGGCAGGACAGGGCGAAACCTTCAGCAAGTTTCCTTACTCCGTGCACACGCCTCGGTTTACCTAGCTGTATGTAGGAACCCTCTTGTCAGTCAATTGGCGGATTGCTTTTTCCGGGGATAATAATCCCTTGTGGCCACTCAATCCACAACTGTTTATGGGACACTCTGTGCGCAAATAGTTGCTGCGTTTCACCCACAAAATACACAGTCGCTATACTTTCCAGTATATTCTGTGAAGCGCTTTGAGACGTGTCGAAGGTGTGATAAGGCGCCAAATCAAATGCAAGGATTACATGTTGATGCTGACGATTATTTTGCCTCTCTGTCTCTAGTCAGTGGAGAATTCAGTCCAGGAAACCAATCCGATCAAAGATCTGACGGAGCAGATCACGGACGTGGTGAGCAAGCGAGGAGCTAACAACACCCTGCTCTCCGCCATCACACAAGTGCGAGTCCAAACCCTGCACGAGCCGCTCACACCAGGTGAGGCCTGAGGGAGAGGCGGGGGTGGGAAGAGGATAATCATAGATATCTACAGTGCAGAAGAAGGCCATTCGGCCTATACAGTCTAATTTTGCTCTCAAAGCAAGCTGTGTCCAACCCTGCCCTATCCCCACACCCCTAATCTCTATCCTTTATATTATCCATCTACTTCCTTCTTGAATATCCTCCTTGTTGGAATCGAGCCAGTCCTCTGTGACGGTCTCTAGTCTGGTCCCAGAGTATTCCAGGGCACTGCTGATCACAGCCCAGCCTGGCTCATCAGCCAGACCTGGAGAGGCAGAGCAGACTATTATTGTTATTATTAATAAATGTAAGGTTAATTCTTAATCCATGTGTCTGTGTGACTGACGCCGTGTGTGTATAGTGTGTTGCTGACCCTCTCGCTGTGTGTGTGTGTGTGTGTGTGTGTGTGTGTGGGATGTGTTACTGACCCCCTCTCTCGCTGCGTCCTCCCACGTGAAAGGCACTATACAAATGTAATTATGTTGTATGGAGTGTGTTACTGATCCTGTGTGTGCAGTATGTGTGTTGGTGTGTGTGGTGTATGTGGTGTGTTATTGACCCTCTCTGTGTGTGTCTGTGCTGTATGTCATGTGTTATTGACCTTGTGCGTATGGTGTGTGTTTAGTATGTTACTGACCCTCTCTCTCGCTGTGTATGTGTTGTATGTAGTGTGTTACAGATAGCCCCTCTCTCTTGCTGTGTATGTGTTGTATGCAGTGTTACTGACCCCCCTCTCCCTCTCTCGCTGTGTGTTGCTCACAGACCTGCTGGTGCCTTTGCTGAGCTCAGTGATCACGGTGGCCTGGATCTGCTGTTTTGTCACCCTCTTCCTGTGGTGGTTCCGACGGCGACGCAAGCGGAGCAGCCCCACCCCCACGCTGGCGGGGGGGCCGGGGGGCCCGGGGGGGGCCGAGGACCGCGATGGCGGGGTGGCCGCCAACAACGTACGCGAGCAGCTGCGGCAGATCAAGAACCCCATCGAGAAGCACGGGCGCGACTGCGAGGGCAAAAACTCCAAAATCGCCAAAATAAGGACGCAGAACTGCGAGGCTGAGGAGGGGGCCGCGGGGGCTCTGGACAAACAGCCACACAAGAACCGCTTCGGCAAGGCTGCCGCTTACACCCTGGTGGAGCGCGATGAGGCGGGGGCTCCCGAGACCCCGACCAAAAGCCCCAACTGGATCAACAAGCAGGACAACAGGGACTTGGAAAGTGCGCAGAGCCTGAACCACATGGAGTATATCGTATAGCCGGACGGACTGACGTCAGCCTCGTTTAACTCACACACTCGACATTTCTTGGGCTTTATCTCTCCCTCTTCTATCTCTCTTTCTCTCACTCTTTCTCTCGCTTTCTCCAAAAGGCTCGAAAGTCTTTACGTGTTCCTTGAATCTGCGTTAATACTTGTTTTGAATGTCAGGGTAAATTCATCGTTCACAGAGATCGACTCCCTCTCTGTTCATATCAGCTTCTAGACTTGTGGAGTCCTGCAGTGTATTGGGTTAGAGCGCTTGCCTCGCAAGCCAGAGGGACCCGGGTTCGATTCCCGGGCAGGACAAAACCTTAGGCAAGTTTCCTTACTCCACATGTCTCTGTTTACCTAGCGGTTAATGGGAAACCGCTTGTTAGTCGATCGGCAGATCGCTTTCCGGGAGGACTAATCCCTTCAAAATAAATAAATAAATTGGTCGCTTTAATCCACGACTGTTTGTGGGACGCTGCTGTGCGCAATTGGCTGCCGCGTTTCGCCCACAAAATATACAGTCAATCCGCTTCCCAGTATATTTTGTGAAGGGCTTTGAGGCGTCTCGAAGATGTGATGAGGCGCCGTATCGAATGCAAGGATTATTATTATTATTATTTCATGTTAAAGACCAATTTGCAATTGCCTGACAGGGGAGGGTTGTGGACGGTTGATGTGGGTGCCTGCGTTACACAGTATCTCACACCTATGCAAACAAAACGACAGCCATGCTGATCTCAGCGTGGACCTGGTATAAATTGAGTTAGTTAAATAGATGGCTGAACAGTCTCGCAAGAATCAGTCTAATTAGGCTCACTTCCTTTCGTTCTTTTCCCCCCCCCCCTTGCCTCTTTTTCTCTCTCTCATTTTCTTTCTCTCCCTCTCTCGTCTCTCCCCTCCCCCCCCCCCCCACCCCACCCTCACCACCTCACCCTGGGCGAGGTTTCCTTGCTGGAAGCCCCCAACCGTAATTTAATTTAAGTTAATTTAAGATGGTTGAATGTTATTTATTTTGACTGTGGAGTGGCTCAGTATTTGTTAAGTTATGTACAGGACAAGTTGACTGTTGAATCTGGCTCCATGTCTGACCGTGTGCCTTTTGCAGCTGAAAAACCACGGCAATGAAACGTCAAAAAAAAAAATAACAAAAGGGCGATAGTTTTTTCTCCTCTTGCGTTGTGTTTAGTTGGATTGTGGGGGTCGGGCTACAATTTCAGACAAGTCTCTGTTTCAGATGAAGAATTTAATTAATTAATTAATTAATTGTTTGATTGATTGATTAAGAGAACAAAAGCCCCCCCAAAAAAAGTTCCTTTGTCGCTGTATAAAATTGTAAATACTTTTTTTAATTAATCAACTGTGTATATTTGATTTAATAACTTAAATAATCAAGAGCCTTAAACATCATTCCTCTTATTTATGTATTGTTTAGATTGAACAAGGATTTTTTTGATAGCTTTTGTAATATTACGCCTCCTTATTTTATTTCCCTCGTGTTCTGACTTGAAATCGAACACCTCGCCCCCCCCCCCCCCCCACCCCTTTCACACCAAATTTGAGGTTCTCTAGATTGAGAATAGATTATTTTTTAATAACTAGGGTAGATAAACCTTGGGACAGTTTTTTTGTATGATGTATTTTGAATCACTTTCTTTTATAGGTATCACTTTTGAGATATTTTTTCCTCTTTTTAGGCCAGGATTATTTTTTTTATTTGGTTTATATATTAAAAAAAAACGCCAATTTGTTTTTCTTTGAGACGTGCGGAGACGGAGCATTTAGGACTTTGAAATAAATGCTTTTGACTTTTTTTTGCTGCTTTCAAAGAGGTGTTTTGTTTTTTCCTTAATTTATACATATTAAAAAGTCATTAGAGTGACAGACAGGGAAACGCACAGGTAAGGCATTCAGATTAACCATTGGTTCTGTGCGGATGAAATGTACGCAGTTATTTTTTTTAGAGAAAAAGCAAATTTACATTAAGCGAGAGCGTTTTGAGTTTTGTAAATCTCGGAACATTTTTCACCACGGAGATGTTATTGAACAACTTTGTCTTTGATTTCTTTTTGTGTAATGACTACATTTAGGAAGTATTCTAGGAATAAGCTAGCTCTCGAATACTTGCAAGGTAGATTTATTTTCCTTCTTCACAGTGAGATAGATCTTCTATACAATTGCCACACGACACTGCCTGCCTGCATTCCTGGTGACTGACTGACTGAAAGCAAATCAAATGTTCTTGTGCAACACTTTATATCCTGTACCCGTTACTGAAATCTGAAAAAAAAGCAAAAAAAAAACAGCTCTTAAACCCTGGGCACGTCATTAGTGGTTTCTCATGTATTGTGACATTTAGTGTTAAATTACCAGCAACTCTCGTGTCATTTCCTGGCGATAAATTTTTTTTGAAAATTAATATTTATTAAATATTTTGATACAACAACGCCCTCCCTTCCTGTGCTTTTTACTTCTCAGAAACAACAGCATGTCAGATCGTCTGGCTGGTATTCTCTGTTCCTCTTTCTATACATATTTCACCCACAAAATATACAGTCAATTCACTTTACAGGATATTGTGAAGCACTTTGAGACGTCTCGAAGACGTGATCAGGCGCTGTATCAAATGCAAGGCTTGTTATATTATATTAAACCATCTTGCTGTTGGATGACTTGTGAGGATATTGTGGAATCGTGTCACGTAGTGGTTAGTGCGCTCACCTCACAAGCGAGAGGACCTGGGTTTGATACCGGGCGGGGGAGAAACCTTACTCCACACACACACACCTCTGTGTACTTAGCAATAAGTGGGAACCCGGTTGTTTGTTGATTGCGGATTGCTTTCTGGAGGGGTAATAATCCCTTTTTTAAAAAAAAGATAAATAATAATTTGGTCACTCAATCCATGACTCTTTGTGGGTCACTGCTGTAATTGGCTGATGGATTTTGTCCACAAAATATAGTCAATTCACTTTACAGTATAATCTTATCTCGTCTCAAAGACGAGATAACGTGCTATATCAAATGCAAGGATTATATCTATTTGATGAAAAATTGGATGCATTGTTTTCTCGTTTTAATCACAACAATAAAAATCTTGCCTTTGATAGAGCATCAGGAAGACGTCCCAAAGGGCTTCACGGGATACAGACTGGTGTGTTTTGTTTCCCACACACAGCCATGAAGTGACCTGGGTTCAATTACCTGCAGGGCAACTTTCCTTACTCTACACACCTGATAATAATTCCTCAAGAAAAAAAGTAAAATTGGTCACTTCAATCCATGACTGTTTGTGGGACACTGCTGTGCGCAATTGGCTGCCGTGTTTTGCCCACAAATATACAGTCAATTCACTTCACAGCATATTCTGTGAAGCGCTTTGAGACGTCTCAAAGACGTGATAAGGTGCTATATCAAATGTAAGTATTATTATAATGGCTCTGTGTGTGTTGTGTGTAAATGCATTTTGTGTATAGTTGTGTTCTGTGTGTGAACGTGTGTGATTGCATTCCATGTGGGAGTGAGTGGTGTACATCCAGCGGCTGTATTGATGGTAACATTTGGGGAATGCGGATGGATACAGTGACAGGATTACTGACGGATCCAAGCTCCTGTTCCCACGGACAGACGCAACCCCTGGAGACTGCCAAGCTTGTTATATTGTCAATGGGAATTCTACACCGCAAACCTTTCAATGGGAGATTAGGATTTCGGTGGAGTCCTGTAACATCGTGGTCAGCGCACTCGCCTCGCAAGCGAGAGGACCTGGATTCAATTCCCAGGCCAGGCAAAACCTTAGGCAAGTTTCCTTACTCCACGTGCCTCGGTTTGCCTAGCAGTAAATAGGAACCTGGTTGTTAGTCGATTGGTGGATTACATTTTGTAATAATCTCCCCTCCGGCCCCCCCAAAAAAGTTGGGTTACTCAAGCTATGATTGTTTGCGGGACACTGCTGTGCATAATTGGCTGCTGTACCCACAAAATATACAGTCAGTTCACTTTACAGTATATCCTGTGAAGCGCTTTGAGGCATCCCAATGGCGAGATAAGGCGCTATATCAAATGCAAGGATAATTATGCACCTGTGTGTGTCAGCCTGGCTCAGTCATGCAGTTTTAGTTGGTTAGACTCCAGCAGTTACCCCCAACGCACACTCTGGGGTCCCCAAGCCTTGGCTCTTCCCAACCTGCGCCTCATACTTTTTGGAATTAGGTAAACAGGATGTGTCACTCCAGGGAGAGAGTGCGTATTCCATTCCAACAATCTCTCTCTGGTATTTCCGTGTGCAGATGGGATGCATGGAAACCTCAATAATCTCACTGTGTCACAATCTTGTACTTGAGACTTTCGATCCAGGTTGAATATTCCAGTAAAAGTCCAACTTTGTTCCTGTTAATTATTCCCAGGCATCACAGCATAACACTGCGAGTGTCGGTCTCTAGTCCGGTTCCCGAGCCAGTTGGGTCCGCAGTGCTGTCAGGTTCATCAGCAGGACTTGGAATCACATAGTCTAAGCTGATGCTCCAGTGTAGTGCTTGGGGATTGTTGAATTGTCAGGTGCCGTCCTTCAGATGAGATGTTAAACTGAGTCTGTATCTGTTTAGGTGGACGTAAAGATCCCGCGACGCTGTTGGAAAAGAGAAGGGAGTTTCTCTCTCTCTCCTGGGTGTCCTGGCCAACAATCCCCCCAGATACAATTGGTCACTCAATCCATGGTGATTGATGACATTGCTGCTGCTGAGTTTGCCTACAAATACACAGTCACTACCACTTTAAAATAACTCCTGTGAAGCACTTCGAGACGTCTCAACGATGTGATTATGGCACTCTACCAAATGCAAGGATTATTATTATAAAGAGATTGGGACATTGTGTGGATCAACACTGTGAATTATTTGTACAAGTGAATTCCTGTAGGGTTATATACACAAAAGATAAGGAAAAAAATCACCTTGGTTTGAGTTTAGTTTGGCTGACTTTGAGCTTAGTTTGGCTGTTTTTTCTCTCTGCTGATACGTGTCTAAGGTGATGTTCTGCTATTGTAATTGCACTGAGCTCACTATTGCAGATGTACACAAAACCTCCTGATTATTCAGCCCTCCCATTTACAATAGTAATCTAGCATTTGATACAGCGTCTCACACTTCAGGAGGATATCCCAAAGTGCTTCGCAGGATAATACTGTAAAGTGTAGTGACTATAGGCGAACACAGCAGCTCAGTTTACGTAAAGCCGTGTCCCACCAACAGCCATGGAGTGACTGACCAATTTTACCTGGGGA